TCCACATTTCCCATAGAACTTCAGAATGTCTAACAGACATGCGACAGTATGCCACGAACTGACAGCGTAGAAGGCTTTCGTGGTGCAATACAAAGCTCAGTTACAAACACGCATAGTAGTATTTGTAAACCGATACCTCTCTTAATGAAGGAAGAAATTTTAGCGAAAAATAAAAGTGTGACAGATGCTGAACGAGATGAATCTACAAGCAAAAAAGACATATACTACTATGAATGAGACACTTCGAAGACAAGCGCTTAGGTACAACCCACAGAATAAAATCAATTATTTGCGCAGTATTGTCATCAATCTACACACATTTTTAATATATTCAAATATTTCGTGCTTCGCAATAAGGTCTTTTCAATTTTGTTATTCAGTTTTCATGACTTTTTGGTGTCCTTTTTTATTTTTCATGATTTTATATTTCATGGCAAAACTGCCTCATGGGCAACTAGTTATGCGGCGAAAATGTCTGTGGCAAAGATGCTTGCAATGAAAATACTGGCCACGCTCATATCCAGCCCATCAGGAAGTCCTACTGAGGCTCTATCCAAAAGTATGCACCCTCTTTTCTCATTTCTCCTTCTCTCCTGACATCTTCATGGCAGCTCCCTCGACACAGGAGGGACAGCCTCGGAGCAGTCTCTCTGCTTCCGCCTTGGCCCTCTTCAATCTTTTCTCCCCAAGGCAGCAGAAGTGATGTGATTACAACGATAACATCCTCCCACTGAACACTCCTCAGGGGCTGCCCATCGCCCTGAGATGAATACAGACTTTGGTCTCAGCTGGAATGTCGCCTCTTTTTCCGTGGCAACACTTTTCTTCCTTCTCACCCCATCCCCAAACATTCTCTCCTTCAGACTCTTGTTTACTCGCATCATTGCACTTACTACAACCGAAATTATTTTAGCCATTTCTTTGTCGCTTTGTGTCCTAGAACATACAGACCATGCGTGTCACTCACGCATTAGAACATATGTCCCCTGTGGGAAGGGTGCTTGTTCACGACTTTATCCCGGTGCCACAACAAATACTTGTTGAAGGTGGAATAAACGACCCATGTGGTACTTGAATTTTGTCCTGCTCTTCATTCCACCCACCCACCTCATTTAACTTTAAACTCAACTTTTCGGTTCTCTTGGTTTTAGTGAAACGCTCCCACTAATAGCCTTTCTGCCAGAGGAATGAGGTCAGACATCCTCTGGAGACCTTTGGCTCCTGGTTCCAAACTCCCCGAGCACCTCCCTCCAGAACTGCGGCATCAAAAGCCCGAGGTGGGATTCTGGGGCTACATTCTGTCTGGCCAAGATGCCAAGACAAGTTATCAGCAATCCTGAAGGAGGAGGAGGCCTCAGGATGACAAAGGGTTTCCAGTGATTCATTGGGTTGGACCATTTTTTTACCAACAACACATTTATCATTTCCTCTATCCAACTGCTAAAATATATGGCATCTCAGGAAAGGAAGTGGGTGGGTCCTGGCTGGGGGAACTTGCCCAAGCACATAGACTCCCTCCCCCCCTTTGCCCAGCTCCTGGCCCACTCTGGCTCTGAGCCAGGGAACCTAGCACCTCCATGTGTTGACCTGTCCTTCTCAGTCTATGTCCCAGTGATCCTGGTGGGTAGGGAGGGAAGCAGGTAGGTAGACAGATGTAGGGTTCAGCTCCCACCCCACCACTTAACCTAGCCATGAAATTGGGCGAGTCACCCCACCTTTCCAAATCCATCCCACAGATGAGAGAGAATACTTGGTAGATCTGTTGTGAGGATTAAGTGAGAAAATGTAATTAGAGTGCTTGGTATGTGCCTGGCACATAGAAAGTGCCCCACAAATAAGAGTTATTCCTTGTGCGTGTGTGTGTGTGTGTGTTCCCAGCTGGGCATATGTGAGGGATCAGGGGGAGGTAAGTGCACCTTTTCTTAGGAAAGCCCCCATACTGGTGACCTCCATCCTTGAGCCTACTTCTGCAGGAGGTTGGTCTCAATCAAGGTCAGCTATCCTAAGTGGTCCCACAACCCCTTCTAGCTGGTCATTCGCCTTGTTCTCTTCCTTAGTGGAAAGGGGAAGGGGAATTGTTCCAAAGTGACCGACCATTTGGCATTTAACCCAAGGAATTTCATTCTGGTTTTGTGGGACCATTTTATAAACTAGTTGAGGTCATTTGGATTTTTATCGAAGTCATCTGAAGGATCAGCGATCCCACTGAGTTGGAGTCCCTGTGAAGCAGATGAGTATGCTGCACCCAGGCCGTTTGTAGTATGGAAAAGGACGGGGTCCGAGTTTTCTTGGGTGACCTCTCAAGCAGTTTGGCTCCATGAAAATAATAACATTAAATCAGTTCACATCTTGATTTGCATTCCGTTATTGGAAACTGCACCAATCTTCCTACACCAGCAGGTCGATTCTCTGCAGATCGTGGAAATTTTTAAACCAAAGTTGTCAGGAAGCAAATGCATGACAGCCCAGCGAACGTGAAAGGAAAATGCCACAGGGGTGGGCCTGGTGGTGTAGTAGTTAAGTTCGTGCACTCCACTTTCGTGGCCCAGGGTTCCCAGGTTCAGATCCCGGGCACAGACCTAGCACTGCTCATCAAGCCGCACTGTGGAGGCATCCCACATAAAATAGAGGAAGACTGGCACAGATATTAGCTCAGCAACAATCTTCCTCAAGCAAAAAGAGGAAGATTGGCAACAGATGTTAGCTCAGGGCCAATCTTCCTCACCAAAAAAAAAAAACGAGAGAAAATGCCATAGGCTGCCTGCTGCTTCTACAGCTGACTGATTATTCCAAGACTATAACTGAGGGCCATTTACATCCCCCTCTCTCCTCCACATCCCACTTTCCAAACATTTCTCTGTATACCAGGATAAACAGATACAAGAAGAAAATGCGACACTTAAATCAGTAATTTTTTTTCTGAAATTGACTAAAAGCAAGGTTTTCAACATTCTTGGAGGATTATAAACATGCGCGTTCTTCCTCAGTCCCTAACGGACAAACAGGCTGTGTTCAGTGGAAGGAGAAGGATGACCACGGCTTCTCCAGTAGGAGGAGCTGCTCCTCAGATGTGTATGATATGCCCATTCACTTCCTAACAGTCACGCCGGAAGATGGAAGTGCTGCCGAAGCGGCCATAAAGTACAGACGCTGCCTTTGCTCAACATTTCATGTAAACATTCTGATGGCTGGTTTGAAATGAGTAATATTCCCTCGCTGTAAGTCAGAGTCTTGTCATAGCCTTGGTTAACATACGACTGCGTTCCACCTGGCTTGAATGAAAAGATTATGACTACCTCTTCGCTGGCACAATCCTAAAATATTCAGACGATGGCATGGAATAGTCACTCAGATTCCCTCAAGAGGCACCTGCGGGGCCTGGCACGTCTGCGCAATCAGGGTCCCTTCCCACCCCGCTTCAAGCTGGGGATCCTTGGAACACAAGGCAGCACCTGTCCCCTTATGTCCAATGCCCCTGAGTTGGGCCCAGGGACTTTTAAAATCATAAGAAGGCACCTTGACCTCCTATGCCAACCTTCATCTCAGCATCTCAAAGTTCCTTGCATGTAAGTGGAAATTATTAAAACCCTCAAGGCGGAGGTCGATGTTGGTGGTCTTGCCTCAAAGATTCCCAACCAGGCCAGCGGCAGGGGCGGGGGCTGAAGGCTGTCAATCAGAAAGATGCAGTTTGTCACTTCCCTCCCCGCTTCTCCCACACGGTATAATTTGGTTACATATGCAGGGACTACAGGCTAGTTTTACCAGTGAAATCCAGAGCTGCTATTAAAAAAAAATTGATTACCCTTGATTCGCACTTCTTTTTAATGCTCCTCCAATTATCGTAAAAACGGCATTTGAAAAATGTAGAGAAACAGATTTGATAGAAAGAAATTCATTTCCTGAGACTTTGAGAAGACATGTTCCTCTACTGGAAAACTTCCTCCACTGCGGCCTTTCCCAGTTGAATTACAGTCAATAATTCACTTCTCCATCAAACACTTACTTAGCCCTTGCTGTGCGTGAAGAGCACTGTATGGACCATGAAGATCAGATCAATCTTTTGTCCTTGTGAGTACCACAGTGTGTTCAAGCAAAGAGGCCACAGGTGGGCGTGGGGCAATGAGTAACTTCTGGACACAAACACAACCAGGATGAGCCATCCTTTGGGCACCATGCTCCCTGTACTACAGCAATTACTGCCCAACATTTATTAGAAACATCTTTGTTGTAGGCAGACAGCTGAGTGCTTCATATGTAGCGATCTTATTTATTTCCATTTTAGAGATGTGAAAATGGGCTCAAGGAAGTTAAATGATGTGGCCATGGTCACAGAGCTAGTCAGTGGTAGAGAGGAAATTGAGACCACATCTGGATGACTCCAAATCCAGAACGCTTAGCCACTTACTCATAGACAAACACCCGGCATAGCAACAGCCTTCCCAGAAATGCACGTAACTCTGACTGTGTCGCTCCTTCCAGCTCAGCACAGCCTCCTTGCAAAGCTGAACTCTAAGTGGTAGATTTAAGATGAACTTGGGGCAATGGGAAAGAAAATCGATATACCATAAACCATGGAAACTGACTCGATTGTGTCAAACGGCAGCCTTCACTCATTTTTGCAATAATTTTTTCAGTTAATCAGCCATGGCTTACCTCCCACATCCTTCTGAACTCTACTCCAACAAATGTCATTTCATCAGTGAGGTCTTCCCTGATCTCTACACATAAAGCACTAACCATAGCCTCCCCCACGCTCTTTCCATTCTATCCTCCTTATCCTGCTTCATTTTTCTCTACTGCGCCTATACCCACCCAACACTATATTAATGTCACTGTCCATCTCTTCCCACTAGATTAAAAGCTCTACGAATCAGGGTCTTTGTTTTGTACATTGTTGTATTTCTGGTCTAGCGAGTGCTTGGCCCATATCAGATGCAATCTATTAAATAAATGGACACATTTGTTGAATCTGAAAATGAACAAAATGCTGTGCTCTACAGGCACGGAAGACGGAAGATGTGGAGTCCGAGCCCCTCGGCATGGCGTTTCTGCCCCCTCACGCTCAGACCAGCAATTCCTACCACATCCATACGTGGACTCTACCTCTCCTCGTGAGTTACTTACTGTTCCCTGCTAGGCGTTTTCCTGTCTCCCTGCTTTTGCTCTGGGTTCCTTACCTTGGAATCCCATTCCACCCCTACCCACAGTCAAAGCTTAAATGCCAACTCTTCCATGAATCCATCTCCATCCCTCTCCTTGCCTTCAAAACAAGTACTCTTCTCTCTGCAGCACAGCACTTTCTCCCTCTATTAAACCATTGGTGTCATCTTGCCTTGTAGGAGGTTTATGTTGGTCCTCCCAACCATCTCCAGGACAAGATTTCTGTGCCTTATTCAGCTTTTTATTCTCTTACATGGCAAGTAGAACTCTTTGCTTAGTAGGCAACTAATAAATGTTTCTAGAATAAACAAGATCCAGAGAGCATGCGGTACCAGTTTCTGCAGGGCGAGCACCAATGAGTCAAGCTTAAAGAAATGGGCAGAATGATCTTGGCAAGACATTCAAAGTTCAATGAAATGGTTACTTAACCAAATCAACTTTAAGTCTTGTCTTTTTTCTAGAAACAGTCAAAACAATCAGTCCATTTGGTCTACGATTGAACAGTATTTTCTCTGGGGTTAGAGTCCAGATTATAAATTGAAAGCTGAACTGGCATTCTGCGGCTCCCGGCATTTATGTGAGCCACACAGACCCTGAGGTACCTAGTGACATGAATACATTTGGGACTAAACATTAAGCACTCTCTGACTAACCCAATATTCCCATGATCTCGGTACTAACTGCCTGACAGCAAGAACAGCTGCAAAGGATTGAATGCTCGCTGTATCCAGGTCCCGGGCTACATGATTTGCAGACCGCATATCGCTTGTGCCTCACAAGTAACTATGTAGAGGATGCGTTCCTTCCATGACCTGCCTCACAGGGTGGTTGAGTGGCAAAGGAGACCACTAACATGGGATACAGAGAGCTCTGTAAAATGGAGCGCACTACACATTGGTGTCCAGGATGATGATGGTGACAAATTCGCTATGACCAGGGACATATGCTGTTCCCTGAGGAAGTGTCCTTGTCCGGGTGATTGAGACTGAACAAATCTCTAGGTCACACATTTCCCTGACTTGGACTCCCAAATTGTGGGCTATTAGGATTATCTTAAGTCACTAGAAGAAAACAATGAATAATGGTAGATTGTGTTTGAATATAAGAAAAGGTAAATGGGGGAAAAGATGCTTTGATTACTGTTATAAGGTTCAAGCACGGGAAAAGAGGGATAACACTGGGCATTTTTGAGTCACCACCAATGGAGGTAGGCGCCAGGTGGGACGCAATGGAGACCCGCTGGCCGTGGCCTCTGACATGTGGCTCTTACAGTCCGTCAGGTGCTAGAGAAAAACTGTGAAGCGCTGGCCACACAGATAGCCCTGAATTTAGTCTGAGCTGTGCACTACAGGAAAGCAACCTAGCGCTACGAGGTGATGTGACAGGAGGAGCTGACCTGGAAAGAGGGGTCAAGCAAGGCTCCTGAGGGGAAAGTTGTATTTGAGTAGAGACCAGAAGAATGAGGAGAAGTTGGCCAGACAAAGGCAGGGAGAGGAGAGAGACATTACAGAAAAGCGTGAGACCTGAAAAAATGTACTGTCCCCAAAACATGAACGGAAAACTGCAAAGTTGACATTACTGTTGAATAAAATGCAAGTAAAACAAAACACATGGTCAACGGTATTGTTAGGATTTAGCAGTCATAAATATTTCAGTGTATTTGAAAAAAAAGTGCCAGTTTAGATGCTCTCAGTTCGTAAGACTCCTCAAGCATGTGGAAGATGGCTGAGAAATCACAGGCACTCAAATGAAAGGAGTCAGTCATAGGCAAATAATTTCAAAAGCCGAAACACTAAAACTTTAAAAATATTTTTGCACTCAAATATATTTAATGTGGCAGGTTGGTTCATTTTAATATGATTGATATGATATGAGCTGGGAACCTTCAAAATAAAAATATGGGCTTCCCGTGTTCTGCTTTGGCGGCTCAGGTTTGATTCCTGGGCATGGACCTACACCACCCATCAGAGCCCATGCTCTGACAGTGACCCACATACAAAATAGAGGAAAATTGGCATGGACGATAGTTCGGGGAGAATCTTCCTCAGCAAAAAAAAAAAAAAAAAAAAAAAAAATATATATATATATATTATGTGCAGGTCATATTAGGGATCTGGGTTTTATTTTTAAGAGAAATGGGAACAGATGTGTGTGGGTGTCTCAGTGTGTGATGTGTGTGCATTTGCACAGTCAGATTTACACTTTAGAATGATCACTTTGACTGTGGTGTGGAAAGGAAACGGAAGGAGGCAAGCACGGAGGCAGGAGGCCTGTTAGGAAGGGACTGTAGTAACTCAGGTAAAAGACGATGGTCATTCGGATTAGGAAACATGACGGAGGTTAGAGGAAAACACAGATTAAAGGCTCTTTTGGCCTTTTACGTCAACTCCTTGGGCACTGAGCCTGGACTCTTAGATGGAATTCAGTTCTGTAGTCAACAGTGTCTCAGTGTTGTTCAAGGGATATTCTAGACTGTTTCATATTCCACCCAGGGCTGGCATAAAGGCACTGGCAGACCTTAAGAAATATACAGAAGAATACATTAGGACACAATTCAGGCTTGGGATTACAGTGTGTAGTGGGCCGAATGGTGGCCCCAAAATGACATGCCCATGTCCTAACCTCGGAATCCTGTGAGTGTGACCATATTTGGGAAAAGGGTCTTTGCCGATGTACGTAAGGATTTCGAGATGAGGTCACTCTGGGTTATCTGGATGGGCCCTCAATCTAATGACAAGTGTCCTTCTAAGAGACAGAAGGGAAGAAGACACAGAGAGAAGAGGAGGCATCTGTGAGAAGACAGAGGCAGCCCTGGGAACTAACACCTAGTGCACACAGAGCAAGACAGGAAGAGGGGTGCTCCCGAGGGGTGCTCCAGAGGGGTGCTCCCGAGGGGCGCTCCAGAGGGGTGCTCCAGAGGGGCGCTCCCGAGGGGTGCTCCAGAGGGGCCCCGACGCTGCTCCTCCTCTTCACTTATTCCTCACAGACCAGAGGGCCCCCGACGCGAGGCTGGGCACCGAGAGCCTGACTCCCGGCGTTCCCCTGTGCCAGGCTCGAGACAAGCCTCTCCCAGCCCCACTCATGGAGGGGACACCTGTGGCCCTTTGCAGCCAAGGTCACACAAACTAGGGGGTGGGGAGGGAGCGAGAGGACTTAGACTGAGGAGGTGAACAGAGCCTGTCTGGGGGAGGAATTGAGAGAGCAGTGGGTAGGGAGGAAAGAGAAGGACTGGAGAGGTTAGGAACATTCACGAAGCCCTGGATAAGCTTGAAGAAGAAGCTCTCCAAGTTCTGAAAAAGGAGGTTGTTAACCTCTCCATGCCCCCAGCACCTTCTCCTCCATCCCACCATCCCTCCAAAACCTGGGCAGGATCCTGGCTCCTGGGTATTATCCTTGTTCTTCCTGGCTGGGGTGCAATGATTAAACTCCTGGGTCTGTCCTGGGGCTGCTAAGCACAGCTGTGCAGGTTGCCTACTGCACAAGAGCACCTGCTGTGGGGGTGAACAGGGGCTTAAACCCAGCTGTGCTCCTCTTGTCATGGCATGTGCCTTTGGGGCAAAGAGGCCCCCTTCTGTAATTTGCACAAGGCACAGGCTGTGCTAACAGCAGCTCTTCCCTTTCTGGGGTCGGCTTGGCCTCGGTCCCCGGCACCACACCCCCAGTGGGCTCCTACTTGTCTCCGGCACCAAATTCTCTGCCTCCATGAGGAAACTCTCCTCCAGAGCAGTCTGCATCTGCCCTCTCCTTCCTTCCACGTCCCCACATGCAACATGGGTCTTCCTTTCCTGTCCAAGTCAGCCTCTTGTGTCCAACATTGCCACAGCAGCCATGAAACCATCCAAAGGAAGAAATACTCCTGTAGACATGCTGACTATTTCCTGGAGCGCAAAATTCCTCAAACCTTTGTCACAAGAGAACCATATTAGGCTAGGTCAACAGGCGTGTGAAAAAATAAATGCACACCGAAGACTTTTTCTGGGCTTTGCCACATGAAGGGCTCGGCCAGGGCAGTTTCCTAGGAGGTTTATTAATAGCTGTTTTAGAAAAAAATGGACTAGTCACCTTTACTCTATAAATTTCTGTGCTTGTCAAAACCTTTTATAACAAGAATATATTCTTTCCTTACTTGGGTAACAAAAACCAAACAAATCAAGAAAGGTAGTGGTTGAAGTCAGTCACATGACACAGCAGCTGATGGGAAAGGCAAACAAAAGGCCATCATTCAAGATCTTTTATGTCCTCATAGCCTTCGAACTTGAATGATCAGGCCTGATTCCTTCCCAGTGCAGTTAAAAATGTCAACTTTCTATAACGTAAAGTGACAACATGATTTCACGACACAAAATATATACAACACGACGAACAGGTGGAATCAGCTAAATTCAGAATCTGCTTTCAATCATCTTCTCATTTCGTCCTCAAACAATCCCACTAAGTAGGCACGGCAGTCCCCATTTTGCAGACAGGAAATAAGGCTTGGAGGAAGATGAAGTTACACGCTAGCATGTGGTGGAGCTGGGATTTTAAATCTAGGCAAGTTAATCCCGGAGTCTGAGCTGCTAACCACTAGACAGTACTCTCTCTCGGGGAGAGCGGGGGTCCCTCCAAGGTACGCTCAGTGGGTCCCACAGAATCCTTCCACCTACAGCTCAGACCCCAACAAGCGAGCCCGTGAGGTAACACTTTCTCTCTAATTGTTAAGGTGGTCCTGTCGGTGGCGGGGTTAACAGAGACTGGCAGACAAGTGCCCAGTCCCTTCGTCCTGCCAAGCCTCTGTCTGGCTAAACAGGGCGCACACAGAAAACTAAACTAGATTAAAGAAAGAAAAAGGAAACACAATCATCCTTTTTCTTTCAGGCCCTTGCCTACGGCTACAGACTGCATGTCTGTGACCCTCCAAAATTCACAAATTGAAAGCCTAGCCCCGAGTGTGATGGTATTTGGAGGTCTTTGGGAGGTGACCAGGTTGAGAGCGGAGCCCTTACGAAGAAGATGAGCGCCCTCTTTATAAGAGAAACCCCAGAGAGCTGTGAGGACACAGTGAGAAGATGGTCCTTCCCACACACCAAATCTGCCCACGCCTTGACCTTGCCCTCCCCAGCCTCCAGAACTGTGAGGAACAAACTTCCGTTGTTTAAAAGCCCCCCAGTCTCTGTATTCTGTTAGAGCAGCCGGCACAAACCAAGACACCCATTTTTCACAATTTGTGGCCTGAATTCCTTTAGGTCTACCCAGATTCCTATTAAGACTCTGAGCCAGACTGATTCTTCATTGCAGGTTAAAATGATGAGAATTTTCAGCAGCTACAACAGTTTTTCCTTCTTCCTGGTGCCTTCACGAGACAGCGCGTCCTTAGGTAAAGGACAATGGAAACCTCATTCTGTATCACGTCAGCGCTGTCTGACTGGGGCTGTGATAGATGGTGAATTAGTCGAACCTGTGGCTTGAACAGTGCCTACCCACCAGTGATGCTTAAGACTTGCCATGAAACTGCAGGAGAGGAGGCCGGAGAAAAGTTGGCCACCTGAGTTCTAGCGCCATTTTGCTCCTAACTGCCTATGTGGCTTTGAACAGTTTCCTGTGTCTCAGTTCCCTTATTAATAAAACTTGTTCTTAAGTATTGGAGGGTTACTAAGCTCTTTGCAAATCTGATGAAAAGCCACGGCCCTTATCACAGAAACATTCCAATGTGCCTAAGATGTTGCGCATCATTTCAGAGTGTTCACAGTTAAGCCCTGGAGTTCAGGTGATTCTGCAGCTTCCTTTCAGCTCTGACATTCTATCTTTCTATGATTCTATCACGAGGGAACGCACACCACTAACCTCCCTCTCTCCCTCCTCCACAAAAGACCACTTCCCCGGGGCTACACTAGGCCAAATGAGAGAGAATTTCCAGGATTCTCCCAAGTCTGTGCGCAGGAATCCCAAGTCTGTGCGCAGGAATCACGACTATTCATCCCAAGAGGCACTGTGTTTGTGGTTCTTTCTTTTTTCTGTGAAGTTAATTTTTGTTTGAGATGAATGCAAAACAGTAAAGAAAGAAAGACTGGAGGAGTGGGAGAGAGACCTATTACATTAAAAAATAGTCAGAATACAATCAGGTGTTGGATTCTAACGTGAGGAGGACCCAGAAGGGGATGGGCGTGGTGTGGGGAGCCAAGGGCAGCCCCATCTCCTCACTTCCCTTCACCTCTGGCCTTAGGGATGTGCCTGGGACAGTGGCGAGGTGCCATCAGCAAATGTGCCCAGCAAAACCTGGAGGCGAGCTGGCCTTTTCAAAAGCATCCACTTCCCAGTTTTCTGGGGTTTGATCTGCCCAGCAGATCCTGTTCACAGAGCCCAGGGCAGACTCGGCCCATCCTGGGAAAACAGATGAACACAATGGCCTTATCTCTGCCTATAAGGTTGTATCATTCTTTCCCAGAAGCCAGCAATAGATGAACAATTCAATTGTGAGGGCGGGGGGAAAAAATAAAAAAGCGTCCCATGTGGCATGGAGCCTGGGGGTCACCCTGCTTGTTTTCACTTTCATGAAGTTGACATCACTTAATCGTCTGCAGGGTTGTTTCCTTGCCTTTGGTATGGATGAAATGTTATTTTACCCTAGAGATAAGTAATGGCGGCCACCATTTCCTGTGCCCAAATGCATTACATGTGCTGTCACTAATCATGGAACGTAAACGATATTTTCACTCCATAGATGAGAAAACTGCCAGCGTGATTATCTCCATGCTACAGACGAGGAACCCAGGGCTGGGCCAGGTTAAATAACTTGCCCCGAATCACACAACTAATGGGAGCCAGAGCTAGGATTAAAGCCCAGACTTACTGAACTTTTCCTTTCTTCCCGCTAGCCCAGAACCTGCCAAACTTGTCTGCGTATTCGGATTCCCTGGGGATCTTTAAAACTCCCAATGCCCAGGGCACACCCTAGAAA